AACAACAAAAACAAAACCACAAAAAAACCCCTGAATTTTTGAATTAAAGTTCACATATTTGCCAGTGGATGTAAGGCTGAAATTGAGCCCTGAAGCCATAGGTGGACTTCAGGCTTTTGCTTTCCAATATATGGTTTTCAACATCTGGTTCTGTATTGGTTCATAGAGAAGATCAGGCATAGAAGTGTCTTGTTATGTCTTTTGTTGTATTATTTAAAAGTACCTCTTCAAATATATTTGTTAATTAGTTTTTAGTCATGCAAGTCACGGAAACTTCAGACTAAAATTTGTATAATCGATATGTAAAAGAAAAAAGCAAAAACTCGATTCATTTAAAGGGTTTCAAAAATCACAATAAAGGGAAAAAAAACCCAAAAAAATCATAAACACAGGAGGTATAAAAATCCCACATTTTTACCAACAATAAGACAAACTCATCTCTGCCTTAGCTTGCGTTCCATGGGACTGTTCCCTGAATATTCATCCTGCTAACTCAGGGCTGCTGTATCAGTTGACAAAATAGTCACCTGAAGGTCAGCCCCTGAGGCATTGCCTTAGCTTCTCCAAAGCTCATTTTCTTTTTTTAAAAGACTGGAAAGCAAAGAGATAATACCTATTGTTCTCAAATACCGAGACTTTTATCTGTCGATCTCGGTTGAAGGCAAGGCATTAGGTGGGAAAAGTGGTGGTGATTTTGCCCGTGTTTGGTCTTAGTTTCCACATAAACTGCAATGTCTGGTTTCCAATATGATTTCACAATAGAACAGGCAAAGCTTGTTAGTTATTTAATAGTCAATGGGATTTCAGTGAACATAATGCTGCAGTTATACGTGCAGTGAATACCTCTAAAGTGAAGAAGCAGCAGTGGAGCACTGCACATACAGCAAATCGTATCGTGCTTATACAAAGTCGTGACACTGAGTTTTTATACCATTTTCAGATTATTGTATTGTTCCTCAGTAAATTTCTTGGTAAGGAAATCTTCTACTCCATCTAGTAAATTTGTAACCGTCTCAAAGTAGATTCACATCACTGCTACTACTGTGCCTCAGGCCCTATTTTTGCAATTTGCAATATTTTTTCCCCTCCTCACAAATACTATTTGGAGAGTGGAAAAATGTCGACCTATGATCATGTTTCCTCACTCCTCACCTAGTACTTGCTTACAGTAGGCAGATATTTGCTTATTAAGAACTCCAATCTTCAGAAATAAAGGATGATACTAACTCAACTAAATCACTGCAGTGAAATTTATTGACATAAAGCCACAGGCTGTCAAGATTACTGACAAAATCTTTCTGTCTTCCTGATCAGAATCTAAGTTTAATATTCAAAGCCAACAATAGGAACAGAAATGTGTAGCCATGAGTCAGGTTCAGAATTCAAAAACTTACCTTGAGAAGCAGCAGGAGTTGATGCGTTCTTCTCCCTCCACACAGTATAATTCTAACATGCTTTTACTGGTAAGCCTGGGGGTCCCTCTGGGACAAAAGATGTCTTGTGACCCGCTGCCACCATATAGCCAAAAGGTCTGTAAAATCGGAGATAAGAAACATTGTCTCTCCAGAGAGCAGCCAGATTCCTATCTTGGGTATGGAATGATACATAACCGGTACCCCGGCAGGAAATTAATCTCCCAAACTGGGACTATTTCCTAGTGGCCAAAGAGAAGACTATTGATGGGGTTTGTTATATTCACATATTTTTTCTTATGATGAAGCAGGGGAAGAAGGAGAGGATTAACAGGAGGAGTAGAGTGATACAAACATGAGAAATATATACATATATATGTGTCTGCGGTAAGGGTGTTCAGTTTCTGGTCCCAGTTCTCATCCCTCTCACCTTTCCTATCGTGGGACAAAACATGGCACAACTCAAGATCTGCCATTACATGCCAGTTTCCAGCATGGTAATTGTCTACATCACCCGGCTGCTTTATCTGTGAAAATGCACAAAGCCAGTTAGCACCTAGTTCTGCAAAGAGCGAGGAGATGATGAGTTCTTCTGGAAAGAACTAAGAGAGATGATGCAGAGATAAGAATCAGTTCTTTCAGATTCAACACTTCATGCAGAGCCGTTTTGCCAATTGACAGGGCAACTTAAAGGACACAGACAGCAATGGAGAGAATGGTCTCATTTTACTATGAATAGCAAGGCAACACAAAAGTAAAACTACACATTTAATAAGAAAATACGCTTACAACTCAGCTTTAACAACAAATGAAAATAAGCAAGTAATGCACCTAATCATTACTATACAAGAAAGAGAACAGTAATTGAGAAAGCTAGGTCACCAAGTTACTAAATATCATAATCCAGAATCCACAATTGCAATTGCTGGTGAACCCCATTTCGTGGAGAGGACCTGGAGAACTCTTCCTGTTAATTGGGAAAATCTTACATGGTGCATCCACCCATGGGTGAGGCTTCCGAATTCGCCCTGAAAGGGAGTCCAGTTTTTATCAGCCCAAATCAGCCAGTCAAAGAGATCTGTTTATATTTTTAGCACAGAAACACCTGGGTCTGATGGCACCCTGGGCCAGAGCCCAGGCCTTGGCTGGGTGGGTTTTCCCTAAAATATCATACAAACATACCTCTATTAGTGTCAGTTGGGAAAGTTTCTTAAAATTATACATTTCTTGCAAATAAATACACAAGATTATGGGAAAGTTTCTAAAGCAGCCCGTTTGGTGGTGAACAGCTGGCATAAGTGTCTTGGTCATCTATTTTTAGGTGAGTAATACTGATGGTGTTGGTCACACAGTGCCCAGGATTGCAAGTCAGCCCTGGCTTAGGCCTGCTGCTCATTCCTCAGCACATACTGAGGTTCTTTAGATGCAAATTCTTAAGCATATGATGATTTCTTACAGATAGTCATGTCCAGTGCATCAGATCACAGAATTCACTCTCTTCTAATATTAAAAATAAATGTCAAGCAAACATCTGTATCTATACAACCCATTTTCTGAATGTATTCATCTGTATTTGTAGCATATTTTTCTCAATCTTTACAATGCAGCAACCAAGCCTTCTGACTCAGGCTGTAATCATGAGGAAGTTTGTGGTATGAACCCAACTCTATTTAGGAATTCTAACAGCAACCAAAAAGCTACTGGAGACAAGATGGAGAGAAGAGCAGGGACATGGTTTTGAACATAAATCAGGTTTTGGAATGTTCTAAGCTGCAATTTACATTCCAGGGTCAGAGAACACTCCTACTCAGTCATTACACAGCTGAGCACTTCTGAGATCATACAATCAATATGTGCCTTTTGCAAAAACATGTTCACTATATGCACACAAAACCTACAGTGACTTAGTGAAGAAACACTTTATCAGTCCTAAGGCAGTCATGATGAAATACCTTTGTTGGAGTGAGGGGAAGGAAGGCACAGTCTGATCTGGCAGCTGTGAGGGTGCTGGGTGATGTACCCCAGACACCAACGGGGAGGGAGCCTGCTCTCTTGGACTCCTGCTTTTACTGTAGAAACTTACTAGATGTGCTCACTTTGCTTTATTCAAAGAATCCACCAGCAACGAAGAAAGGCTGCGTTCTGTCACCAGCGTATGTTAGAAAATGTCTTTGGTGTTGTATCGTGCAGAAATCTCTGCAAATTTGTGTTTAACACGTAACGATGATAGTCATCATTGTTGTTAACTGAATCTCTGCCCTGACTGCAGGCTCTTAGGACTTTATTTGGAGCTGTAGCCTTTCAATGAGTTCAGTTTTCAATAAAGCCAGTGACGGCAGCAAAGGTTACATTAATGTTTTGTTAATTGGCAGATTGTATCAGCACAGCCTGAGCTGGCAAATTACTCGCCTTAAACTAGCTTCTATGTATTACATTGGAGTTTTACACCGATTTGCAAGATTTGAATTTTAAAACCCTTTTTGTCAGATAAGTTAATAGCATAACCTTTTCTAATAGCATAAAATTTAAAACATTTTTACACACTCAGATCAGAAATTGAAGCAAGTTTCCTGCTTTCACCTATTCATATTTAATACATATTTTGATCCATTCATCCAGTATCTTTAGAATTACTGGGGAAAAAAATAGCGAGATGAGAGCAAGCAAAATCACAACAAGCAAAATTCAGCTGCTTTCAAGACAGCAAATCTTTGGATCCCAATTTCTGAGTTGCTGACTCTAGTATTTTTCCTTAAAAACATGCGGTAGACACACAGTTTAACCAGCCTGCCTTGCAGAACCCTTTGGAGAACCCAGTATTTTCAAAGAACTGTTTCCACTAAGAATATAGTTCTAAGGATATTTTTTCCTTTGATAAAAGAAAAAAAGTTCTCTCTTAAATATTTTTTTTTCATTCCACAACTACACCGAAATTTAGACAAAGCTAAAAAAAAGAAAAAATAAGGCCGGGGGAGGTGGGGAGGAAGGTAGGTTTGGCAATACCAATAGAAGCATTGCATCTTTCAATGCTAAACGTGCAGGAAGCTCTGTAGGTAAGGCACGGCTAGGACTAGAAACCAGTATGGGCAAATTCCAACATTTGGAATTGGCAAGCTCTGTAGGTTAGGCACGGCTAGGAATAGGAACCAATGCTGGCAATTTCCAATATTTGTGTCCAGTAACATTTGTGAAAGCAGTTACACGAGGGAGTGTTTCAGACAGGTGGTCTCTGCAGCACGAACACTGCAGACCTCCGCAGTGTGGAGGTTGGTCCCACAGCAGTTTCCTGAGCAGAGCCAGCCCTGTCTTTCACTGAGGTACCGCTGCTCTTTTTAGGGCCCGGGCTCCGGCCCCTCTCCCGGCCATTACACAGACCAGGGTGCGGGCGGCCGGGCCCCCAGAGGGGCCAGGGACAGACCAGGGCTGCGAACCGCGGCTCGATACCCGCCCGAAAGCGGTCAGTGCCAAGTGCCCGTGTGGGCCCGGGCTCGCCACGGCGATCCTCCTCGCTGCGGGCGGCATCCCCGGGGCTGGGAGCGCCCCTCTCGGAGGAACGAGCCGCTCTGAGGGGCAGCCACCCGCGGGGAACCTCGCCTACTGAGGCGCTCCCCGGGGGCGGTGGCGGCCCCAGGGTGCCGGGAGTGGCCGCTCCGGGTGGCCACCCGCAGGGGCTGTGGCCAAGCTGGGCGGCGCGGGAGGCCGAGGGAAGCGCCAGGAGGCGAGCAGCGCCTTCGAGGCGGCCAGGCAGACTCCGCACGCTCCAGCGGAGAGCGGCCGAGGGGGAGCGAGCTGAGCCGCCACCGCGCAGTGGCCACCGGGCTCCGCTCTCAGTCAGCCACAGCCACCGCCCGTCTCCGCACGAGGGGCGCCTCAGCCGCCCCAGCGGGAACCTCTTCTAGGGGAAGAGGCCCGGGGGTCGCTGCAAGGACCAGGACAGGACCACTGGGCGGCGGAGGAGCAGCGCCGTGGGGCGGGGCAGCTCCTCCCCGCCACCACCGGAGGTGGGGCCGGGCGGTGCCGTGGGGCAGCGGTGGCATTTCCGCAGGGTCGTGGTTTCGCCGAGAGGAGCTCGTCTCGTAGCAGTGGCGGACAGACGGACGGTCGGACGGACGGCTGGTCGGCCCGCCCGAAGATGACAGACGCCTTGCTGCCCCGCCAGGCGGCGGAGCCGACCGGGGACGGCTACTTTCGGAAGGTGGGAGGCTCGTGGGCAGCCCGGGGCGGGTGGGTTGCGTGCACAGTGGTTTGCGTGCCTGGGGCAGCGCCTCCCGAGGGCAGCTCGGGGCTGGCGGTCCCCTCTCGGTCGCTCACGGTCTGTTTTCTCCCGGCGGAGCGTTGTGGGCTCCGTCCTATGGCAGCCCCCGGGCGTGGGGAGCAGCCTGGGGGGCGGCGGGGCAGGGAGGCTGGATGGGCACCTGGCCCTGAGGGAGCGCGGCCGCTCGGACTGCCCGGCGCCGGGACCCCGGCGGCCCTCCCCTGCTTCGGAGCTGGGCGTCACCCTGAAGGCAGGAGCCCTCGTAACTTCCCAAAATCAGTCAAATTGCACTTGTCCGTCGTCTTTTTGCTGTCTTTATTTATTTTTTACCCCCCTGTTCTCTTCCCCGGCTGCTGCTCGCTGCGTCTCCCCGCGCGCTTTCTAGTAAATTACCTTATATACCTGTAAGAAAGTTTACTGGAGTAAGGTAACGAAGTTAACAGATTCATTAGGAAGTTCCTAATGAACATCTGCCCTAATTACTTTTCAGACTGACTGGGCGGCTTATGCCATAACCTGCACCTGAGTTCTTTTTGCACAACAGTAATTAGAGTTAAGTATCGCCTGTAATGCAGCCCCGTGGGGTTCTGTGAACTTCTCTGGAGGTAAAGGGCAGCCAGTGAGTGCCGTTTCCAGAGAGCTTTGATTCGGCTTTCCCTCGCTGTTTCTGAGTTCTCAGCACCTGTAACTCCCGTCCATGGGTTTCATGTGGCGGTGTAGCTACATGGGGGTTTTTGTGTAGATTCCGGATGCGAGGCCATGAGCTGTCTAGCCTGTGGAGGGGGTAAAAAAAGCTGCATACATCAGGTTGTTGCTGCTCGCCTTTGCGCAAAAATAGCCCCATTGCACACTTCAGCAACCGCCTGGATTACGAGGTAGGGAGGCACATAGGCTTTGCTTTGTTGCCGTCTTTACAGGCTGTTAGATTTTTTTTGCCACAGTATTTATCAAATTCATAAGCCTGCAGGAACTTAAACAGCATTGCCCTTTAGCAGAGGAACTGTTTCTAGGTGAAAAGAGCCAAGCTTTACCTGTGCCGGCCATGCTGCAGGGAATCACTACCACCTTGTAAATAGCTAGAGAGACTGAAACAAAACTTGGACCAAATCTTGTCTGGCTTCCTCATTTGAGTAATCCTACTATAATATTTGGTCAGTAAATCACTTTTTGCGTAGTAGTCTTTAGCAGGACTTTCAGTCTTTCGCAGTCTTTCCCAGTCATACAATGTGGCCAAGGTGTATTACTGAGTTTTCATAGCTATGTTTTCTACACTGTAGGAAGCTCATAGGCTGCCTTCAGGCATGTTAGTAAAAAAGCTGACTTTTCATGAACTAAGTTGCTGATAAGGATTAACTGAAGTTTAGTAGCCAAGTTGTGCCTCAGGTCATGAGTCGTAGATCTTTTACACTCAGACTTGCTAAAAGGCTTAGTTTATTTTAAATTAAGTTGTTGTATGTTGCAGTTAGGGTCACTGAAACAGTATTAGATCAGTGTAAAGCCTATTGGACAGGAAATAAGGTTTTCTCATATATGAAAACACTGTACGATCAATTTAATACCTAATCAGGAGCATCTTTCCTATTACTTTAAGACATAAGTAATGAAAAAGTGGGGATGTGATAAACTCTGAATGAGCCACATGCTGCAGTGAAACATTCTTACCTCTGTTCCTTCAGATCTTGGAAAGGTTCAGCCAACTCTTAAGTGTCTTTATAAAAGTTGTGAACGGCAGCTTAAGCTAGATGCTCAAAGCCTTTAGTCCCTAAAAGTAAGAAGGAAAATAGTATACCTTGTTATATGTTAGTTGAATGGTCTCAAAAGTCAGAGCTTTAATTCTGATTTAGAAGTTCTAGGTGAAGGGGGAGGAAAAACAAAACACTAAAACAAATGGACCAAAACAATCCCTCTCCTGGAATCTTTAACAGGTACAAGCTGTGAACCCAAGGAGACACTTTAAATGTGGTATCTGTGTGTCCCTGTGAACGGTATACTTGGTGATTCCATGTGACTGAAATTAGAGCTTCTGATGTGTGTCCATGGGTCTTCCCCTCTGAGCTACCTTGGTATTATTGTTTTCTCCTTCCTTTCTCTAAATCAAGCTGTTTGTTTTCCTGAAAAGATTTGAGGGTTGGTTTACCACTTTTGTTGGTGCAGAATCACATCAATTTCCAAGGACAGTCTTTGTGTTTTTAGGTCAAAAGATACTTAATTGATTTTATTTTTTTATTCTGTATGCTATGTAGCAAGTGAGAACACTTGCTTTGCATCAGTCCTGCTCAAACATGGCTTCCAAGCGCTACTTACAAAGTGAGGTTCTCCCATACTTTGCAAGAACATTGTGCACAGTGAAATTTTATAATTGAGAAAAATTGGGCTTTTGATGAACGGATTACTGTGGGAAGTGTGCTCAAAGTCCCTCTTGCTCTTTTATGCATTATGTTTTTTGAAGTTTTGAGTACAGCATACCAGAAAGCAGCCCTCACCCCAAGATGCAGTATGTAAAACAACTTACTTGCTTAATTTTTGTTTAGTGCCTTTTTTTTTTTTTTTTTTTAATGCAGGGAGGGGGCCCTATAAAACTATGACTGGCCAGAAATGGGGACACAGATGCACAGTTGTGTATCCTGCTTTGACTTCTGTTGTCACACTGAAAAGTGACTCTGCCATGAGTCTGAGATGTGATGGGTGCCAGGAACTGAAGTCCACTTGCACCCTTTCTCAGATTTACCCTCCCCATTCCCTTCCAGTGATGTCAGAGCTGCTCCAGATAGACCTTTTCCCTTACTCTGTCTTTTTCCACTATCTCCTTTTTTCCTGTGGCAAAGATTTATCATTCATATGTGCAAAATCAAATTTTTCCTTAAACCTGTAAGATGCTTTGAGCTGGCTCAATGCTGGTGTGTCTTTTGTTGGTGTTTTTTTCTTTTTTAATCACCTAATTTTAAGGAAATTACCTGTGCAGCCACACAGGGTACAAATAACTATCACTGTTGGTCCATTCACTTCCTCTTATATTGCCCTTCCAAAACAACCCTCTTGAACTGTTTCATGAGCTGCAACCAAACTTGTGAGAAGAATTTGACTTTTAAAAGCAAAACAGACAACAACAAAAAATATCCTTTGTGGTGTCCTGAAGAGGGCATGGCAAAAGGGAGGAAGCACCTTACTTTCCATCAAAAAGAAGACAGAACTTCTGCCTGGAACTTTTTAATTTCTGGGATGATAATGTACTAGGAACTGGTTTTGCTACTGTTCTGTTTATCTTGGCTTAGTCCAGTGTACATTGCCAGGGCACACTGTACCTGTTCTCCTAGGTGGTGTGAGTGCTCTTGGACCATGAGCCTCATATCTTGACCTATTCTATATGGAATTTCACATTCCTTCCCTGTTACTGACAGCAGTCTGTGAATCAGCAGTGCATATCCCACACATGCATCCAAATTCTGCCCCCAGTCTTCCTTGTCTATGAAAATAATGACAAAACTAATGATAAGAGCAAAGAACAATTTGTTTCAAAAGTAGAGCAAAGCATTTAGATGGGACGTATTTTTCAACAGACCAATAGTAATTAAAGCTGGTCTGTTGTCATGTGCTGCTTTGCTTACATGAGATGCTTCTCCCAGCCATGGTTATTTTTTACACCTGCCACAGTTCTGTGGCTTGCTTGGCCTCTCAAATGTCTTCCTGGGTTTTTTTAGTTAGCTTTGAATTCTTATGAGAGAAACAGCTTTCTTTTTCAAGCTGTTCTCCTTTTTTTTTTTTTTTTTTTAAACAGTACACCACTTAACTAGTAAGCTTTTGCAAAGTAAATATCCCTGAGACACATCAACATACAGAAATCAGGATATTTATAATATAGTGCTCATCCAGTCATGGGATCCAGTGCTTGCGTGATGACCTGGTAGTAGGGCTATGCCTGCCTTATTTTTTGTTTGTTTGGGGGTGGTTTTTGTTTTTCTTGGGTCTTTTTTTTTTTTTTTTTTTTTTTTTTTTGGTGGGTAGGAGCAGAGCAAGGAAGAGATACCTAGCAAGTTCTTTCTGCTCTGTTTTTCCCACCTTGACTTACTGCTTTGTAGCACCTTACAGTGGCCATATTTTCAAAGTTGTCTCACCAGTCAGAAAGTTGCAATAAATGGTAAGAAACAGCCACAGTTAATTTTCCAAGGTTAACATTTCTACAGCTCTGTGCAGCTATTGGCTGGCTCAACATGAAACATCCCAGTTTGGTTGTTCTGGATAGCAGTCCACTGTGCTACACAGAGGCAGAGCAGTGGGACAGCTAGCTTAATAAATCTTTAGATTCTGATCAGTTAAACAAAGGTGCATAATTTCTTTCTCTTCCTAAAGCTTTGCTTTCATCTCTGAGGCTAGATACGTATCATATAGACCCAGGTGATTCAGAAAGAATGACTGTATATTAGTCCCCTGTGTCAGGGAAGAAGGCTAAAAGCAGAAGTAAGCAGCTCCATAAGTGAAGCACCAGACTGAAAATGATGATAGGTATGGTAACTAGCTCATGAATCAGCACTTCCCTAATTAACTCTGTGGCTTTCCCCTCTTTTTGAGCTTTTTTTCTGCAGGGCTTCCCCCCACCTGTTGTTAATGTATCAGTTTACCAACCTGCCACACCTGTCCTTCCACTGGGGTTTAGCTCCTGGGGTTCTTTTCAAGTCATTAGTAGCCAGGCAACCATCAACATTAGCATTGACACAGGAATATTTATTTGGCTATTTGTTCTCTTTCCACTTGTCTGGCAGGACAGAAACAACATAGCAATGATTCATCACCCTTGTCATCCAAAGTCCACTCATTATATACAAATTCATAAAACCTAAACCAGAAAGTAGGCCTTCATGTGAAACTAAGAATCACCTGAAACTTGATTAGTCAAGAGAGAGACATCTCTGACGAAATATGAATGTTAAATTTTTCTTAGTGAG